CCCGAGGTGAACTAAAGCATCTGCACAATGAGAACATCACATCCTGCTGCTTTGCTCTGTATCATAATCAGAATCATGTTCATTGCCAAGTTGGTTTTCATATACAAGGAATTTGCATTGATATATTGCTGCCTAAAAATAAAGATTGAATGGAAAAATATAAAAAAGGATGAAAGCGAGTGCTGCAAGTCAAGAGGCAAAAATGGAATAAGTATATATTAAAATGACTGAACTGTAGCTTGGCTGTCCTGTGAGGACCACAGCCTGTTTTTGGCTGGTGTTCAAGGTGTGTTTTCTAATTTCTAAGCATTTACAATAATTATAATGTGCATACACTTCCACCAGCAGGGGAGCCCAGAACTTTCCCAGATCAGATTTTCCAAATCTACAAAACTTTAAAAGAGCAAGGAGCCCATTAGTACCCAATTACTTGGTAATCATGTTTTGTGTCACCTGTATGATTATTATCATCAGCTCAACATCATTTTATACACAGCCAGGGGACATTTACTTTAAAAATGCAATCCAATAAAATCACTAATTCCCTGTTCAAAAATGTATTCAGTAAAATACATACCTATCTCAACACCAAATATGAAATTAAAACAAGATAAAGGAAATATCCATAAGATTACTTTTTATTTGAGTATATTCTGTAACAGAACAGTTTAGAAAATGTAAAGGGAGACCAAGATTTTTAGCATCAAAATGTGTCCTTTGCTCGGTGTACTTTAAATAAAAACTTGCTTTTCATTAAACAGTAAATTTAAGCAGTAGCCTATAGACCATCTCACAGCTGGAAGGCAGAACTAGTACTGTACTGGGATGTTGTTCCCCTTCTATGCTGTAAAGACAAAATAATGGACACGGCCCACGTTCATCAGCTTTAGAGAGGATACTGCCATCTGTTGGCTCTAACTGTTTTAACTACAGTTTCATGGTAAATCAAAATAATGGATATAGATCATTATATAAATCATTCAAAATATCAAATGGTCTGTATTTAAATCATCATGAATTCATAAATTACAGATGACATACAGACATACAGATTTATGACTTATCAGTGAATTAAGTATTTGTCATTTATTAGTGTATATATAAAGTGTGTGTTAATAAGTAATTAAACATCAACCAGAGAGTTATAAATGCCCTTTGATGATTTTATTATGAATGGCTCCAGCAGCCTGAAAAGAATGAGCCATCTTTCATCTGTTGTCCCTAAGGTGTCTTCACTTCATCTCGGTCTCTGCCTTGGAGTAGATTGTGATGATGAAGCTTGCGGTCTTGTTGGGTTCATACGTGCAGGGAACGATCAAGTACTCCCCGGGCTCCAAACCATGAAACTCGATTAGTTCTCTCGACTCGCTGAACTCACTGACTTTCAGAGGTTCCTTATCCCAGAAGAGCGAAGATGGAAGTCGCCCTTTGGGTGCCTGCGAAGATTACAAATGGGAAATTTCCTTTAATTTATGAATGTATGTAGACTTTATGTGTGCCCTTGAATATTTCTTTAATAGAAAAAGTTTGTATAAATGATTCTTCTTTACCTCTGATGGTACCTGTTTGGAATGAAGGATGGGGATATCAGATTAGATACTTCACAATTTACACAAGATTAATAAAACACGTCAGTGCAGACAAGACAACATAAGGACACCACTGACCTTGTAGATGGTGAACGCAATGGCGTGATATTTAACTTTGCTGCGATATTCTTCATCAGACAGTAAGACATTATTGTCTCCCTTCGCGTCCTCCTCCACTGCCTTCACTGTGAGACGGTACTGCGGGTTTATCCAAAAGTTCTCTGAGGAAAAGCACGAGGTCTTACAGAGATGTGTCATGTTCCCCTTTATTTTATTTATTTTATTTTTGTTTTCTAAGATTTGAAACTGATTTTCAAAGCCTCCTCTGAAGAGTGACTGAACAGTATCGCTTAGCAACAGTACAGGCCTGTCAATATTTGGATTCGATGCAGAAAAGAGATTAAAGGAGCTGTAGTAAAAGAGATTTTGCACATAAGTTTGGAGGGATGCGTGTTTTTTCCCCCTTTCCAAAAACCAAACCACAAGAGCAAATGTGTAAAGAATAGATTGAACCGTCTGCTCTATTGTACATTGCAAGCGTTAGCATGCACGGCCTTGCATAGCATACCTAGACAAGGTAGGCCTAGCACGCATAGCTTATCACAAAAGTATCTCAGGACACTTTTTCAAATAGAGCAGGTCTAGACCGTACTGCATATACATACAATAGGAACTTCATTGTTACATTATAGAGCATCTTTTAAATATATGGGTCTGTCACTCTAACTTGACTCCCAGGATAGATCAGTGTCTCACTGACGCCAACTCAGCCCTCTTGTTTTATGGAACAACCCTCTGGGCTATGTCTAAACGTCTGCTAACTGCATATGTGCTATCCCAGAGTGGAAGCTTGACGGACAGCAGAAGTAACAAAGGAGGCCAGAGCTTAGTGAAGAGCCAATTACAGTTATGTGAATTTACCACATGCAATAAAGCGCTTTGGAATATTAAAAAATATATAGTTATAAAAACTCAAACCTCATCTGTTTCACTAGGGGGGCCCCAGCAGATTTTCCAGCCTCCCAGCAGCCTTCTTTCAGTGAGCAGTTGTCATGTTGGAGAGCAGTGGCAGAGGTGTCTGAAATCAGATTAAACAGCAACTTTGATGCAAAGCTGAACTTCATATCAGAAGAGTAACATGTAAATGCAGAATTTACCTGTAAAGTTATCTGGCAGCTATTGTGGAGCAAAAACAAAGTATGACTGAAGAAGAAATTGTGCAACGAATTTATACAGTTCAACTGCATATCAGGCATACATAAGTGACAAATATTGAATAAGTCAGTGACTGGATTAAGTCAACACCCAGTCAGAATTAAAGGTTGCAAACAGCAGAATGTTTGCAATATAAAGGGGTGTAGGCAGAGATTAACATGGTTGATGGCATGTTGAAAGATAACGGTCAAATCCTGACATATTGACGTGCTAACAGCGAGAGAGTGTTAGGTCAAGGGTGGATGTTTAGTTACCATTTATGCCTTTTATTTATGACAAGCTCACTGAATGCAATGTTGGACCAAACAACTTCAAAACTGATGCAACACACAAATATTTAGTAAGGGTTAACTTTGTTTTTGTCCTCTGCCACATTTTAATTGTGTAGAAGTGGTATACTACAGCCAGAGCACTGTTTTGTGCCAAGACTCAAAAACCACTTTGCTCCTAGGTAAGTTGACATGTTTACCAACTATGGGGAGATTTGGTGCGTTTGTGGTGCCTCATGCCATTGATAAGTTGTACGTTACAAACTTCACCATGATTAGCCATTATGCATATTAAACACAAGGCATCTAAGACAAGTTTAAAAAGTTAATTTTCATGACCTAGACATAGCCAGTCTTTTCTTCAAAGAAAATGTTTGAAAGCTAGATACTTCATTTATCCCGAGGGAAATTCAAGTATTTCTTCAGTTATCCTGAACCCTTAGTCAGGTCTTCACACATGCTTGCCTGTAGGGCTTTCTAACTAAAACAGTTCCCATAGAATAAAGGACATCAGGAATATAATGACCAAAGTGTTCAGGTACAAAACAAAAGCAGACAGGTTTTCAGCTTCAACAACTGTTTTATTAGGAGTGAACATATGTAGCAACAGAAATTAAGTCATACTTTAACAGTTTCTTCCTCTCCACCATGACTCCTTATAGCAAGTTTCCAGCAGCATAGATGCACAAGTTGGATGTCATTGTTAAGCATTCAGAAAAACCTGCTGCAGTGATAGAACTGAAGCTCAGAGGCACACGATTTTGATGGATTTGGCTGTTGTGTCACAGTGGAGGGAAAGCTACACCATTGTTTCAATCAGGCTGTTTTGACACCAATCTTTTTACGCGAGTGCATTTCAACAGGTTGACATCCATCTTCAGACGTATCCATGAGTCCTCTTGCCACCTGAAGAAAAGAGGGAGCCAGATTAGCCTTTAAATAAAACATGGCCTGCAGATTAATACCATCTGATCTCAGATTGCAATGAAAACCACTGGTTGGGAAAGCCAGACTGGGTGGATAAAAACTTACAAATTGCTCTATTAAATGTATATATCCCTACCATGTTCCCACACAGCTGACAATTTCCAGACATTGATACATGACCCAGTTTCCCCATCAGCACATCTAAAGTTATGAGCCTTCCTGAGTTACTTTGCCAGTGCTGCTTAGTCTTGTAGCTTAAAAGCAGCTATCATTTTCCACAAATTAATCACATGACATCTTACCACATGTCGCTTGAGACGCACTCCAGCAGAGTCGCTGCAATCACTTGATCCAGTTCTATGGGATAAGAAAGGAGGTTAGTCTCCAAGTGATTCCATCCAGGTGCGTAGTGTGATGCTGCCATTTCGTGTTCAGAAAACCAAATATCACCACTAAACAATCTGACGGTAATTCCAGCTATTTCAGTTTAAGTTTCATCACAACAGAAGCAGCTAGTTGCCTTTAACATAACGGATGGATGTGGATGCAAACTCACCTGCACAAGATCAACTCGTCCGTCAGCTGGTTCAATCTGGAGCAG